CCCCCCCCCCCCCCCCCCCCCAGTGCTCTCCTGCCTCACAAGAAAAATGTCAGGGCGTTATATCAGCAGAAATAATAGCAGGGCAGACAAAAGCAGGGGGCTCTGCAAATGTACTTAAAAAAATAAGTAAGCTAAATGTGGCCAATTTGTCCTTTTGGTGCAGCTGGTGACTGAAATTAAAGACTAAACATCACCCGCCCACTGGTTTTTCTCTCGTTTGGATAACTAATTCCTCCCACGGCTGCTGTAGCTATGAATTTCTATTCTTACACATTTCATAAGACGTTCCGAGCTGCGAACGAGAATCCTTTCAGCTGTAGGTGTTTTTTTTTTTTTTTTCATTTGTGGTATTCTAAGAAAATGTCTTACTTTCATAGCAGGATTCTGCGCTGAGGTCAGTGGGCGTAAACCAGTAATCCCATTGAATGGCTGTGAGAAAAGGCAGAACAGAAAATTCTCCAAATAAAGCCTCCTGTTGAGATCTTTAGATGTTAAAATTAATTTGGCACTCTCATACTGTGTATTTTAGTTAAAACTGTGCTTAGTTTAACTTCCCAGCAGATACAAATGGGGATCTGTTTCTAAAAATAGCCACAGATGGTCATTTAAAGCACATCCAGCTCTGTAGTAGATCCCCCTCTCTCTCTCTGTTACTAGGGAGGAGCGAGAATTTCTGCAGGAACACTCCATTGTCTTTATGGTACCAAGTGTTGTTGCTAGGCAACCCGGAGACCAGGTCCATAGTACGGTGGAAGCTCGCTTGCTCGTGTACTGGTAGTAATTTTCCAGGTTGGCGCTTTGACTGCAAAAACACGTTTTTTTGTTTAGTTCAGAGAAACAGGTCAGACTGTTTTCCACCTGATGAGGTTTGGAGATTACAGCAAAACAAACTGGTTTTGATTGAATTGTAATCTGAATGGGAGCTTCTGACGGGAGATAGTAACATTTTTTTGGTTTAGATATTGAGGGAATTCCACAGTGATTTTTTTTTTCCTCTTCAAACTTTGAATTCCTTCTACAAAAACACTCTTTTTGCTCGTCGTGCCTTTTTTTAGTTACACTTCTCAGAAAAGAGTTTCTCTAGGGAGGTCGAGCTGTTGAATATACTTTGTACTATTTATGGACGTGAACTCGTTAATTATTCAAGTCACGATGCTTGACTGTTTTATTACACAACACAGTGCTGAGAAAACAACAACCGGACATAAACAATACATTACATATCTTATTAGGTAAAGAAAAAGAAGCTAATTTATTAAGTGAAGATGAACATTTAATGTAAATTATTTAGATTCCAAGTTAGTAAACGATTTTTAAAGATACAAGATTGAAGTGTCTGTTGTAGACAGATGAATGAACGACCTTTTTGTGTGTTTGTGAGCAGGTCTCAGTTCATGTGACCTAACTTTGATCTTTGACAGAAGCAAAGTTTAAAGTGTCCAGAGTTCACCAGGGTGAAGGAGATAAAAAGAGCCCTGCTGTGCGGAGGCATTCATCTCCTTTCTGTACTCTCCACCTCTGGAGGTGTGCTGTGGTGTATCCCACACGCCGTCTGAAGCTGAGCCTTTTATGCAGCTTACATGTATTATTCATTTACGCACACACAGCGATTCCGGTAAGAAGAAAAACAAGTCTTTGGAGATCTATTGGATGTTTTGATGGGAAGAGGACGCCTGACGACTCAACATAAAACTACACTCAGCAGATCATTGGGTAAAATATGAAAAATGAACAAACAATAAACATACCCATACAATTTTATTCACAATGAAACAGACAAACATTAAAATATTTCTCTCATCAAACAAGACGTAAATGGTTTCTTTCACCCGTGAGATGTGAAAGGATGTAAAAAAAAACAAGTTTAAACTGAGGTGATCTCCGGTTGCAGCTTTCTAAAGCCACACGACCCCACCTTTAAATGAAACTGTAGCATTTCTGCTGTTTGTGCATGACAACAGCAGTTGTTTACTCTGAAACCGAAGCTTCTTCAAGGTCTCAGAATATATTTGTTACCACCCTGCGTCTGTATAAAATCATGTGTATGCACTTTGAACCGCTGTAGTCAATAGTTTTCTGTGCTTGTGCGTGCAGATGAACAACAATGGTGGACAGCAGACAGAGTGCTGTTTGTGCTTCTCAACATTTGTCTGCGTTTTCATCCTCGATCCAAACTAATGTTCAAGTATTCATCATATGGGATGTCTGTGACTGAACTGTCTACAATTGTGCCCGGGTTGTTGAAATACAAAAACCGCTGCACCACCTAGTAACCTGGCATGAGAACTACATTTAACAAGTACAGCATTACCCATGTAAACAAATAACTTCTACAAGCAACATCAGAAAAACAGGTTTGATAAATAACGCTACTGACTTTTTATGTATGTGAATGTTTTTGTACAGTGCCCTGAGATGACTTCTGTTGAGACTTGGTGCTTTATATATAACATTTATTAAAGCAGGGGTGCCCAAAGTGGGGCCCGCGGGCCAAAGTTGGCCACCAAGCCATTTGATTTGGCCCGCCAAGCTGTCCTCATTACTATATTAAAATTTAATTTGAAGAATCAATGCGTTTACACTCAGTCATTCCAAGATTAATGTTAGATGGAAAGTTGGCCCAATGACTACTGTAATGACACGACACAGCTGGAGTGACTAATTTGTGCATTCATTTTTTAAATTTTTAATAATTTACATTTTATTTTAACAGACTTCATACCGTCTCTCAGCAGTTTTTTGCTGCTGAATAATATTTCCTTTGACAAAGTTGAGCATCATGTAGGTGCCCATTCTTGAGCACCCCTAAATTTAAACTCAGCATCTCTGAAAAATTAAGAAACCATCATTAGGATTTTGTAAGGAAAGTTCTCAAACCTTAGATTCACCAAAACATTGAATAAATGTTGAATATGGAATGAATGACGACAGTCTCAAACGGGCCAGTAAAAGCTATAATTTTTTTTCACGAGTCACGCCACCTGTCAATCAATTCAGTGGGCACATCAGCAGCTGGCCAGTCAGTGACTTCAATTTGTTCTGAAGTGAACGTCCCTTACTTGCAGAGCTGCAGCTTTACAGTCAGAGAGATTTCAATAATAACAGAGTTTACATGTTGTTTCATCTTAATCTACTGTAATAAACTTTTGTAAAATACACCAAAATGCAGGAAATGGCATTTACTTTATTCAGAATTCTCTGGGTGAGGACCCCCAGACCCCCCAGCCCCACCCCTACCAACACAGCCTGTTCTGTAATGTTCTTTATACAGAATGGAAGGATAAATAACTGTATAATAAATAAATGGACTTTACTTAAATAATTATTTGCATTTCATGTATTATATTATTGCATTGGGCCCGCAGCCCTCTGATAGATTTTAAATTTGGCCCTTTAAGAGAAAATCTTTGGGCACCCCTGGTTTAAAGAGATTGTTGGATGTAAACAGGCCTGACACCCATTGGAGCATTAGAACTGAAACCCAGTCATTTTCCTTTTCATCCACATCTTCATGCATACATAAACAGGCCTTTCTTGAAAATGAGTCCTGGTGACTCACTGACCTGTATAAATAGAAAAAAATATATATATGACCAAACCTCTCTCCAGCAGGTAAACAGACCCTAATGACTTTCCAGTAGTCAAGTTAATGTGCATGCAAATTTAGCTGCATAAACAGCATCTCATGGAGTTTAAAGCCTGGAACAACTCCTGTTTTGAACTGAGAAAGCTGCTGGGAAAGTGGGAACTGAAGTCTTCATCTTAAAAAAAAAAAAAATCCAGTTGTTTTGTTTTGGTTGAATAATTTATTGTACACTACATTATTTTAAAATGTGCATGAGGAAATCTGGAGTGGCAGAGAAGTATGTTAGACTGGTACAGGACATGTATAAGGACAGCAGGACAGTGGTGATATGTGCTGTAGGAGTGACAGATAGCTTCAAGGTGAAGGTGGGAGTGCATCAAGGATTGGCTCTGAGCCCCTTCTTGTTTGCTCTGGTGATGGGCCGACTAACAGATGAGGTCAGGTAAGAATCCCCATGGATAATGATGTTTCCAGATGACATTGTGATCTGTGGTGAGAACAGGGAACAAGTGGAAGAGAACTTGGAGAAGTGGAGATATGCACTTGAAAGAAGAGGAATGAAAGTCAGCTGTAGTAAGACAGAGTACATGTGTGTGAATGAGAGGGGGAGGCCGATGGAACAGTGAGGCTACAAGGAGCAGAGGTCACAAAGGTGCAGGACTTCAAGTACTTGGGGTCCACATTCCAGGAAAATGGGGAATGTGGTAAAGAAGTGAAAAAGAGAGTCCAGGCAGGATGGAGTGAATGGAGAAAATTTTCAGGAGATACTTGTGACGAAAAGGTGTCAGCAAAGGTCAAAGGAAAAGTTTACAAGACAGTGGTGAGACCAGCTATGTTGTCTGGTCTGGAGACAGTGGTATTGACACAAAGACAAGAGAAAGAACTGGAAGTGGCAGAAATGAAGATGCCAAGGTTCTCCTTAGGAGTGACGAGGTTGGATAAGATTAGGAATGAGACCATCAGAGGTATAGCACAGGTTAAACAACTGGGAGATAAAGTTAGAGAGGCCAGACTGAGATGGTTTGGACATGTCCAGAGGAGGGACCGTGGGTATACTGGTAGAATGATGTTAGAAATGCAGCTGCCAGGAAAAAGACAAAGAGGAAGGCCAAAGAGGAGATATATGGATGCTGTTAAAGAGGACATGAAGGTAGTTGGAGAGAGGACAGAGGATGCAGAGGACAGAGTGAGATGGACGAGGATGACTTGCTGTGACCCCTGAAGAGGGAAAAGCCGAAAGAAGACGAAGAAGATTATTTAAAAACACTTTCAAATAAATACATGCAGGATTTCCCCTTTTAAAATATCTGACCAACCCGAACAGTATGAGTAAACTGCTGCGCCACTATCTCATGAAGAGGTTGGGGATGCCTGGAGCGGGATCCTGTTAGGCCCCGCCCCCTGCATCAGGCATGCAGTAACCAGGGAGACTAGCGGAGGCGCACCCTAGCAGCTCCTCACGACTCGCTTTAAAACGCGCTGCTGTAGCAGAGAGGAGGTACTACTACACGGAGACAGACGAGATGCAGCTCGGAGACACCAAGCTCTAACTCAGACCAGGAGAATTAGCGCTTCTTCTTTCTTTTTTGTTTGTCTCTTCCAAATGTGGGGCGCGCCTCTGCCGAAGCAGCACAGCCGCGGTTTGGACGCGAGATGGAAACATAGGGGGTTCCTCTCGAGAACGCGCGCAGCGAAGAAACTACAACTGGTTTTAAAGCGAAGGAGAGAGAAGGGAGGAGAGGACCGGAGCAGATAAAAGTTCACAATGGTTCAAAACGTGGTTCTGGTGTTTCTTCGCAGGAGGCTGAGCCAGAGACCAAACGTGGAGGAGCTGGAGAGTCGGAACATTTTAAAACGTGAGCTCAAACCACCTCTTCTCACTAAAAACACCTTCAGTAAACTCGTTCTAATAAACAGGGATGATAGAAATCTTTTTTTTTTTTTTAAAGGCATGTGTGTGTGCATATATAGAGTATAAAATACACATTTCTGTCAAAAGTAATTTTGCTTTGTATATATATTTAAAAAAAATATATTTTATTTCTTAACAGAGAGAAATGATCAAACAGAACAAGAGGAGAGAAGGGAGATCAAACAGCGGCTAAACAGAAAGGTGCACACCTGTTTGTAATTGTGTTTACTTGGAATGCAACAGCAGTCAGACGTAACCGTTTCATCGATTCCTTGTTTTCCAGCTCAATCAGCGGCCGACGGTAGACGAGCTCCGAGAGAGAAAGATTTTAATCCGCTTCAGTGACTATGTGGAGGTGGCAAAAGCTCAGGACTACGACCGCAGAGCAGACAAGCCGTGGACTCGTCTCTCAGCTGCAGACAAGGTGCGTGTTTGTGTGGACAACAGTCGTATGATCTTTAAAACCTTCTAGCACCTAATCAGGGTTACCGTTTACTCCCGTGACTTTGAGTGATCAAGCCTTTCATGATGCTCTCATCAGTTTGAATCCTCAGGTCTGTCAGTGTTTCAGCCTTTTGTTTAGTCGTTCTCCTGCCGTCACGTTGATGTTCACCGGTTGCCAGATCTCGCTGGCACCGAATGCATTTGGGATTCACTGATGGTCTTTACATCCTCTCCACAGGCGGCCATCCGAAAAGAGCTGAACGAGTTCAAGAGCACCGAGATGGAAGTGCACGCCTCGAGCAAACACTTAACCAGGTTAGTATTCAGATGTGTATGTTCAGTTGTGTTTTGCCCACGTGCGCTATTCTGGGCTGCAGCGTTCTAAATTTAGCTCTCCTTGCTCAGCTAGAGAGCACTGGAAGGCTAAAGATAGATGGGATAGCTTGTGATCTTGGGTGGGGGAGGTTGTCCCTTTGAGAGCTCACGCGATCGGGCAGAGAAACGCTGAAATGGCAACGTGTCCTTGGCTGAATGTTTTAAAAGAAAGTCTCTTTGGGAATTGCACTTGTGACCCAGAGAGGACAGGAGCGCACGTGTCCAGCTCATCGATGCATAGAGTACATTTGCTGTTATAAATAGCTCCTGATTAATGACTGCAACAGTCAAAGATTTGATGACAAAGGACCCTCTTGTAATTTTTGCTTTGTACGTTTTTTCTCAGGTTCCACCGGCCATGAAAGCCGAGTTTCTTCTGTGAAGAAATGCTGAGCGTAGACATTTCCTGAAGCTGCTTGATGCTGCTCAGTGGTGACGGATCAAAGAGCCTGGAGCCGTTTTGTCTTCAGAGCGTCTTTAACTTCCTTCCAGCGCCCTCAAATGATCAGTAGGAAGAAACAGGTGTGGGAGAAGCAACAGTGTTTGCAGCAGTGCGTCCTGGAGACTCCTGGGCGCGACGTGGAAGCTGGCAGACGGGACAGACTGGTGGAGCCTCTGACTCTCAGGACAAGAGCAGAGCAAAAACAATCTTATAATTCTTTTATTTCTTTTTGTACTAATTCATGAACTACTTTGACAAAATGGTGTGTAGTGGGAAGAAGTAGTGCATGTGACCAGCTTCACTCTTTTTTTAAACTGATGAATAATGTGTCACTTGGACTGTGTACAGACTGTGAAGTCTGGGGAGATAATCCAGGGGAGGGGTTTGATATGAACTGTACATACAGTATGTCAATCAGAACGGGCCGTTAAATGTCTTCACTGAAAAGAGAAATACCTTTGTAAGCACTACTTCAGAATTGTCTTCAAAATACATCTTTTATAAGAACGGCTGATGTATTTATTTTCACATTTTATTTGACATTAGGAAGGTTGACATATGCTGGTGAAGATTTGTTGTTTTTGTATTGAATGTTTTTTGAAGGTTGACATATTTAAAAGTGATCAATACATTTAAGATCTTCAACATTCATTTAACATTTAATACTTTGAAACACCTATAAATTAGATATACATTAAAAATGTCAAATTCACATGGAAGCTAATGACTTCTATGTGCTAACATCAAAACGTTTAGCTGAGAAATGTCATCAGAAACACTGTATATGAAGAACAAACCCAGACTTAAGAAAACTACTGGAACAAAAGAACCTGAAAATACAAAACAACAAGATACAAACACTTGGGCTGGCAATGAGCACAGCTGCACTACACAGTCGTACGTTGACATAAACATCCTGGGGTTTTTATTGTTCCAAGACCTTTGGAAGGATTTTACTCCACTCAAACCTGACTCCATCAGGGGAAAAACAAAGCCCGCAGTCCTCGCTTCACACTCTGGATCTCTCCCTCTTGCTGCAAATGGAACACAAACGCAAAGAAACATTCAGGAAAAGAACACTTTTAAACGCCACAAATCAATATCTGAGTCAGAGCATTGAATGTTGGGTAAAAGCTTTCAAGAGAGGAGGTGAAGGACACAGCTGCTGAGGTCACCTGTGTTTGATTCTGCTTACCATCTCAATGAGGAGTCTGTCCTGAACTGATTTCATCTCCGTTCCTATTAGCCCCATCTAAACACAGCAGCAAGAACATGGTTAGAAAAAGCAGAGAAAACTGTTAACCACTGAACTAAACAGTTCTTAGAGTACACAGTACAGGTACAGTATAGATGAGCGAAAGTCTCACCTCTGATGTGAATATTCCCTCCTCGTATTGAAGGCTCTGATGCACACTGCCCTGGAGGGTTCTCTTTAATGTATCGTTTCTGGGTACAAAGAAACAGACAGTCATGCAACCAACTGAAGTAAAAGAGGCAGAGAAGTTAACAAAAATACAAATATATCAAAGGAGCGCAGATAAAAATAACAAGATCCAGATATTAATCAAAATGTACTAAAGTGGAAAAGAGTTTTGAGTTATTAAAGCACAGTAACACAACTTAGAAAGTCAAAACACTTTACATTAAGTGTATTCATGTAAGGTTGCTTTCTTTTTTAAATGGAACTTAACACTAAAAAGTCCACCAAAAACTCACTTTGTTTGATTTTAGGGATTATAAAAATATATTTGTATTTATACATTTATTGCACTGCAGAGGAAAATAATAAAAGCCACAATTAAGTTTATATTACATATAGGAAAATGTACAAATAAAATGTTTCAGCATTTATGCAATCATTAAGTCAATCACTTAAAATGAACAAGTTCAAAGCAGCCACAGCTGATCCACAGCAGGCTGCACGCCACTCTGTAAACTGTCAGGATTTTAATTTACGATGTTACACATTACAACATTCACACAGTCTGCAAATCACATGAACCTCAAACACTGAACTCTTTCTTCACCTGATTACTGGTATGTATTATTAACTGGTGGTGTGAATAATTCAAACCCTGGCATTTGCACATGACTGACTTCAAGTTACAAACAGTTGAATGTGTTGGTCTTTGTTTTTCTGATCATATTACCGGTAGTTAAAACTCTGCATGTATGGTCATGAACAAAGACATCACTGCGTAAAAAGAGCTCAGATATTAGCTACAGCAAGATAGAAAGCATTCCTTAGAATCAGACACAAAAGAGGAAAACTTGAATTATAATGTATGCTCTAATAAAGGCATGAAGCACTTGAGGTGTCGAGGTGTATGAGGCGTGTGAATCTGGGTGCCATTTATCCATCCATCCATCCATTATCTCTACCCGTTTGTTCCATTTTGGGTCACGGGGGTCGCTGGTACCCATGTCCAGCAATCACTGTGCGAGGGGCGGGGTACACCCTGGACGGGTCGCAAGTCCATTGCAGGGCCACATAGAGACAAACAACCATTCACTCTCTCACTCACACCTAGGGACAATTTTGAGTTACCAATCAGCCTAACATGCATGTTTTTGGTCTGTGGGAGGAAACCGGAGTACCCGGAGAAAACCCACGCATGCATGGAGAGAACATGCAAACTCCACCCAGAAAGGCCCCTGGACCAGGGTTTGAACCAAGGACCTGCTCGCTGAGAGGCAGCAGCTCTACCAGTTGCGCCACCGTGCTGCCCCGGGTGCCATTTATATTTAAAATATTTTTTTAAATGCACTCCATACAGCCAAATTACTGTAATCCATATTAGTTATATAAAGCATTGGCTAAAAACTAAAAAAATAGCTTGTACTTTGGGGTGACATTTATTTTCTGATGATAACCCTGGGAAAATGTAAGTTTTCAGTGAAACCTTTTAACCCTTGATACACAGAGCAAACAGGTATATTACTCAACATATTACATATTATAGAATATTTGAGTTTATCCTTGTGAGAACATCACTGATCAGAGAACATGGCAAGAGTTAACAACATTGTTCTTTCTGCATTCACACAAACACATAAATTAAAGATTTACCTCAAGACTTCTTGCTTCTGGTAAGAATGGAAAGCCTTGATCTGCTTTTTCCACATCATCTACAAGAGAGAAGGATAAAAAAAAATAAAAATCACAGTTGTCAAATTAAAAATACTAAAGAAAATAAAACCAACTGGTTTGTGTTTGATGAGGCTATTTTATTGACGCTATTTTCTACAGTGTGTTCTGTGTAGAAAGGAAAGGGGAGATAGAGAATCACTCTGTAAAACCCACAGTCAGATCTTTCTCCATATTGTTCAGCATGCCGTCATCCTGCTCCATCATGTGGATCTCTTCCAAGATGACCTTTTTAACCTGTTCAAGCCTCTGAGTTCTGTGCAGAGGAAAGACAATTACCCAGTAAAAAATATTTTAAAAAAATGTCACAGGATTCAGATTGCAGGAAGACAAAACACTTTTTGGAGCCTATGAAACATGTAAGTACTTTATTTTCATTTAAGAGCAGACAACCAGCCATCAAATACAGTTTGATGGTAACAAAAGTGAAATTTGGAAAATAATTTTCGACAATTTTTGATAACTATAAAAAAGTCCTAATTTAGGGATTTTTCACAAAAGAAATGACAACAACTGACCTGTGTTTAGTAAGCTGCACATTAATGGAAGAGACATGTTGTTGCACCGTCTTTAAAGACTGCTTATTGTAGATCTCCATCATTTTACAATGGTTCTGAAAACATTTAATGTGCAGAATCAGTGACGTCATAGTGTGAACACAAGTCACAAGTGCAAAGTGAATCATCTAAAATAAATGCTTTCTCATTCGCACATGGTCACCTTTCCTAACAGTATTTTTAGTGGTACTTGGCTTTTAGGGTACTAACATAATAATAGTGCTATAACATTTTTATTCTGTTTGTTGTGTGCAAGTCAAACCTGGAATTTGTTTTTCAGCTCAGAGTTCATTTGCTGACAAAGGCTGTTTGGGTTTAAAGTAATTTCTGGCAGATTTAACTCATCATTCATCTCCATGTCTTCATCCACAACTTCATCCTCCCAGTTAGTGGAACTTATGTTGCTCTGTCCCTCCAAAGCAGACGCCTCAGCAACTGCAGAGACCAAAAACATTCAGTGGTAAGCTGAGTTCGGTTCTGGTTTAAACCTTTTTTTATTATGTAAAAAAGCACAAGACAAACAAAACGTTTTTAGATAAACTGTGTTTTAAAAGCCCTATTTTAAGACATGTACTTCCAAACTGCCCAAGACTAAATAAGGCAACAACAACAAAAAAAAAGCTGGACAGAAGTATTGAGATTTCTATACATCCATCCATTATCTTTACCCCCTTCATCCCTTTTAGGTTGTGGGGGTCACTGGTGCCCATGTCCAGCTATCACTCTGTGAGAGGTGGGGGACACTGGACATGTCTCCAGTCCATCACAGGGACAGATAGCGACAAACGAGACAATCATTCACTCTCTCACTCACACCTAGAGACAATTTGGAGTTATCAATCAGCCTAACATGCATGTTTTTGGTCTGTGGGAGGAAACTAGAGTATGTGGAGAAAACCCACACATGCACATAGAGAACATGCAAACTCCACCCAGAAGGCCCCCGAACCAGGATTTGAACCAGGCCAACCTGCTCCCTGAGAGGCAGCAGCTCTACCAACTGCGCCACCGTGCTGCCCAGATTTCTATTTATACATTTGTAATTTTTAAGGTAACTTTACTTATATACAGTATGCATTTAGACATAAGGGCTGGTTGTTGAAGCAGTGAGGAAATAACATTTATGTTTTAGTTAGCTTGATTTAACTTAAATAAAATGTTACATAAACTTAAACCACAGCTCTTTACTGGTATACTATGACAATTGCACAAATATTCTGGGTGATAACTGTTGCTCTGGTTTTCTCATGTTTTCTAGTCTAAGCACTCATATTAATTAATGTTTGCCTTACAGGACTTGAACAATTTCCTAGGCTTCATTCGAGGTGAACGCTGCGTTCTGATCTTGCTTTTTTTGTTCTTTTCCTTCTTAGCTTCCTCAGAATTACTGGATGATACATGACGCTTACGACTTGGTCCTGAAAAAACAGGGTGGAAGAGAGAACATGATCACACAAAGCACAGCATTTTTGTCCAGGAATACATAAAAAAATAACAGAATAAGGTGTGTCTCTTTTGAGTATATCTGTGCTCATAATTTTTACAAGAAAAATTGTATAATGAACTTCAAGTTTGTCTCGGTGTCTCTGTCCCTTGCTGTGATGCTAAAGGACATCAGGAAATCCAGAACCAAAACCTGAGTACCTGAGTAAAGAGGCTGTGTAAGTTCAATGTCGTTCCCTTTAACTGGTGTTTCCTGTCAAGTGGAGCAACAAGTATTAGTCATTTATGTGATGGATACATATATTTTAAAACCATAACAATCTAGCCAATCATTCATGTTTCATTAATACATCCATCCACCCAACTTAAATCCTTAATAAAAACACAGGAAATAAATCAAACCTCTGATTTAAAACACTTATTCATGAAAGCAGAGGAGCTGTTGTGTTTTCGGCTGGGTACTGATGACTTAGGGGATGAATGGCTCAGTGATGCCAGGGATGCTGAAGACACTTTACTGAAGTCAAGGTGGCATCCGTAGCTAACAGTGTCTTCAGGTAAGGGTGATGAAGAAGCCGAGGCGACAGGTGGTTTGTCCAGCTCAAGAAGAGTGGATGTCAATAGGGCCTGTGTGGACGGAGGTAAAAGAGCCTGAGGTGTGGAGGACAGATGCTGCTGGTCTACACACATCTGGAAAGAAACAATTACAATGAGAGAAAGTGATGGCAAATTATGAGACATGAAGAATAATGGCAACTCATTTTGTGGTAACCTAATCATCATGTCTGCCTTGGATTAGGGAAATGACAGACATTTTTATATTGCATTAAAAGGCTCAGATGAAGCCCAGCAGAGTCATGTTTTGCTCTTCCTCATCCCCAGAAATCATGTTTTCAATCATGCCATTCAACTGTTCAGTCCAATTCCTTGATATTTTCATGTTGATATATTTACTGAGGGACTGCTTTAATATGTAATCCTTGTGGTTTTGTTTCAACAGAGATCTCATATAGGCCCAAACAAGTGTATGAAGTTGAGGGCTCAAAAGTTTGACAGTTATTAGAACAATAGCAAAAATATTAAAGTGATGATTCAGGGAGGAAAATGTTTTTTTTCTTTCCTAAATTCTTTCAGCTCTTCTGAGAAATCTTATCCAGTTATGTTCAGGTCTGAGACAAACATCCATGATTTCTAGATTATCAGTAAGGCTTTCAGTTATTTAATTATTTACACCATCATCTATTTTATTCCAGTGATTCTTGCAGACTTGTCAAGTAATATCCATGACCGTACTTCTGGTGCAAAGATATGTGTAGGCCTGGCACGATAACAAATTTTGCTGGGCAATTAATTGTCTCAGAAATTTGTTGCCATAAACGATAATATTGTTTGAAATTTAACAATGCAGCATGTCTCTTTCAGAAAAATGGAAGGGAGGGCCCTTGACATAGCATGGGCTGACATGGTGACATGGCGGACGCTCGATGTGGTTTGAGCTCTTTAGTATAGCATTTTTCACACAAAGCTTTTAATAAAAATCAGTAAACAAGTTCTCAGCTTCTTTTTGCAGAAAAAAAACCCAACTTTTTACATGAAAGCACGGGTTGCAACCGTGAATTTTGGAGCTCGACAAGACGGAGGTTTATTCCCAAGGTCGGCCTGTTAGCTTAGCTCTTAGTTTAGCTTCTCAGCTTAGCTGCTTTTAACAATCCAAAAAAACACGATTTTGGACGGTTAAAACAGATTTTCAAGAGAAAGTGAGGGGTCAGTGCAGAGCACCGGAGTTGAGCCTTTTGTCATCCAGTGTCTTCAGTAGAAAGAGAGACACATGAAGAAACGATAAAGCTGATAAATGAAAATGAGGTTGATAATTTTCATTCATCATGTGATTAATTGATTTATTGTTAATCGCGACAGGCCTAGGTATGTGATTCATTCGAAGATGCTAAACTTTGAGTCAAAGATGAGCTGTTATATAATTTTAAGATAATGTATTTAAGTCATTCATAACCAAATCTCACGTTGTGATAAGTGAGAATTCTACCACAATAATACTGCAATATCTCCATATACTGACTTACTTTTACTGTATTTTTAACAGTTTACAACCGTCTCATTTTTTATGTTTTTTTTTTTTTTAACTCATTGTAAATACATCATTAAGGTGATTACCTCTGTTGCACTCAGTCCAGTGGGAGGACTGGGTGCAGGGGTTTGACCTTTTGATGAGCAGGGAGAGGGAACAGACTGGATGAACTTAGTCTTGGATGAGCTGTTGTTCTTTTCTGCTTTGTAGAAGGAAGATGGTTTGCATTTTCTTTTACTGCTGACTGTCGAGTGAGGTTTGGGTAGCAGCGGGACGGGAGAGGGGGATTCCTGGCAGGGAGGCTTAGGAGAGGCAGAGAGTGGGGATACCCATGGGGTGAGGACAGTGGAGCAGGTCAAATGCAAGGCTGGGGCTGACCTCTCAGCAGCTGTGAAGGTCCAAAATAAACACAGATGTTCAAATAGCTGGCTTTAGAAATTACACAAAGCACAGAAGGTCACTACATACACCCTTTTCTACATAACGATTTACAGTTAAGAATTTGTGAAGATTTTTATTCTATAATGTTTCTAGTGTTAAAATGCATCATGTGCAAACTGAAATTGCATTTGCAATGTAAAAGACAGACAGAAAGTTTGAACTAAACTAACAACACGAGGAACACTTTATCTACTAGGTGTCAAAGGAGCTATCAAGAAACTATTGTGACCACTGTAATGAAATGAAACTACTTGATCAACAATAAAACTTTCAATGGACAGGTAGTGTTAAAGGAGTCAAATAACTATTATTTAACTTTGATGTTGAAGAGCAGCTGTTCACAGAATCTTACTTCTCATGTGTTCGATGAAAGGAGGCGATGGACAGAAAGAGGTTTGGCCGGCAGCCAAGGAATCCTTCAAAGAACTTATTTGTTCTCGGTCAGGGATGACATTTTTCTTATTCAGTTTTGAAGTTTCTTGAAAAGCATTTCCAGGCCTAACCTGCAGAAAAAAATGTGTTCTGAATTCTCATGAGATGGGAAAATGACAAACACATAGACACCCCAACATGTACGTATATATACAGTAGAAATATAGTTAAACGCATAGCTCATTCATTTCCAAAATAAAATAAAAGTCGTCAGAACTTATCAACATGGAAGGACCGTTAAACACATTTTACAAAGCCTAACACAATTTCAAAACATATGAATGGAATGTCCATGATATAAGACAAAACTCCTACCTTGACATCAGATTGTTTTTTCAGATCTGACCAACTACGTTCATCTCGTCTTCTGCAGCTTTCTGCAGGCTGGTCAGAGAGGCCTTTTCTCTTTTTAACTTGTGGATCCTTTGAACAGATCTCACGGTTTTCTTGCTTCCCTTCATGGCATGTCTGTAAATGGGCAAATCAAATAATGCAACTACTACAATCCACAAATTGAATGGTTATGTTGATGTTTCACCTTTAAAGCAGAGGCCACTTTTATAGGTGGTGACAGGTAATTTATAGACTTTATCAAAATGTAATTAAGGATATAATTACCTCTAACTTAGAGGTTGTTGGCGTATTTGATGCAGGCTGTGGCTTCATTTTGGTTTGCTGTCTGCTGGCAGTTTTCTTCTTGGTCTGAGTAGCTTCTTGAATCTTCACATCATTCTTCAGCTTGTCAGCAGACAAGCGCTAATGTTAAGGTGACAAAAAGATGCTCCGTTTTAAATCTGACAAATGCAAGTTATTTTTTTCTGTATTTGAAAAATATAGTACTGAATGTAAAGCATCTTTAGATTGTTTATAAGTCACATGTTTCTAAGGACACTGCTGCTGTGTAAGTTTACTAAAATATAAACATTTTGCATCAAACTGTTACAGATTAATTTGTTTTATGTACAGTGAGTCAAGCTTTCAAGTTTGTTGCAGTGAACTCACGTTTTGATACACTAATTTATAAAAGTACTCTATTATAAATGGAGGAAAAAAAAGTTTTAAGACAAACCAGATCATATGCAATCAAAAAAGAACAAAAGCAAGAACATTTTTTGTAAGCTATATACAGTATTCTAAGAAACAATCCAAAATAAATAAATAAAAGTAGACATCTTTTGCCTTAGATGCATGAGCCTCCTCTGTTTCAGACTGGCTCCCATCAGTATCTGGATCTCGGTAACATTTGGTAGAAGTGGCTGCTGCTCTCTTAGGTCTCCTGCCAGCTGCATGTGGTCCGCTGGGTGCTGCCACTGCCGCTTCTTCCACAGGCTTCATTGTCAGTGCCTTCTTTAAATAGATACAACAGTGACACTCTGTGGTTAATTGAAATAGTGCTCCAATGACATACAGAAATTTGTTTACATTTAAACCTCTTACTTTGCGTTGCTTGTTATTGCCCTTTGTTGCTTTTGGAGCAGCTGGGAGAACATTTGGGGATTTGCCTGCATTAAGAAATGGTTTATTAAAAATACATTCTTGTGGTAGTGCGATTGTTGCAATTTTACTTTTGTGATAAATTAAAGAGTGTGAGGTAAAATATGACATTTAGAGCCTACCCGGAGACTGAGGAGGGGTGGCTTTGGATTTGGGGAGTGCCTGTCTGGTATATTTGGTAACTTGGGGTTTGGACTTCCTAGCAGATTCCGTCAGCCAGCTGACTTCTGTCACAGCATTGTCTGTGTCTGTGTCGCTAAACAGATGTTTTTTCACATATCGCTTGTTCTGCAACACAAAAACCAGAAGATGACAACTACAGATGGGCCATGATACATGGCAAACGGCCAATAAATGAACATTATACCACAGACAGAAAGACAAACAAACTTTGCTGTATCACTTAAATTATCATAAAGTTCAATGACGTACTTTGGCCAGTGGTTCCAGTTGTGCTTTCTTGGTTGTATTGCGACGTGTGGAAGAGATCTGGATGTCACTGTCAAACAACATTAGGAAAATAAAATTCAACATATTTAAAACAAAAATAAAGAATCTGTGTTTGCAATATTTGATAATTAATTCATTTCTACACTTTCCCTTTTTTTTTTTTACCTGTTTGATGTGTCTAATGTGTTGTTTAGAATTTTGTTCTCTACCTAAAGTTAAAAAATAGGTAAATAGTTAGTCGTAGATTAAGTACTCAAGCAAATCAATAAAAAACTAAATAGCAAGCATTAAAAATATTTACCCCAATGCAGACGGGTGAATCAATGTTGAATGAAAATGTGTCTTTTCTGCAAAAAAGAAGACCGCTTTAAATACAACTTGGCCATATTTTGACATTGTAAGCCATTCATTGATGCAATTTTTTCAAATACGGTATCTTTAAACTGACTTGAATTACCTCTGCGTGACACACTTTATTGTGGTTTTGTTAAAGGACTTTCTTGAGCTCACACCTTTTGGCATTTTGTTCTACATTAAAAACAACCACTTTCAGTAAAACAAGTTTGTCAAAACAGCAAAAGATTTAGTGTTACTCAAGTCTAACCAAGATGCCAATTAGGCGATGATCACTTACTTTTCCAGATGAAAAAGCCTTCATGTTGAAGATTGGTCTATTGTAAAAAATATATTTTATGTGTCACTTTTCTACAAATGAAGGTTTTTTTTTTTTTTTTTTCAACAAAAGAAATCTAGTCCTATGTGAGTATGTTAATATACTGAACCTGTTGACAAGAGGAGGAATCCAGTTCTGGACAGTATTTTCTGAAGAATCTGTTGCTGCAGACCTGGTTTGAATTTCATAATGACTAGAAATGAGCTTTACCATGCTGGAAGTAACTTTTGCATCTCTCTAATCAGAGAAAATGAGAGAGAATGTCATTTAACAACAAAATGAACACAGAAGAATCATGTAAATCTTTTCATACGTTGGATGTAAATTATATTTAAATCTTACTTTTTCTTTGCTTGAAAGATCAACCTTAGTGTCCTCTTTATTACTGGATATTTTTCTCTCCTGCACTGTTTTGGTTGCGCATGTCTTTAGTGAAGTTTTCGTTGGAACAATGTCTACCTTCAGCGACGTCTGACCTTTACTTTCTTCTTTGCATTGGTAGTTTTTTGGAACCTGCTGCACTTTAGGTGAGTGCAATGAAGAGTTATGCATGCTTTCAGAGCTTTGGTCTTTCGAGTTTCTTCTGGCATTAGACATTTTTTTCTGTAGGGCAGTTGCTGCCTCGTATTGAGGATCTTTGGTTCGCTCATTGAGGAGTGGCTGCAGTTGCTGTGTCAATTCACTATGAAACTGCTTTTGGAGAATGAGGCTTGAGTCTGAAATTGACAGTTTCTGTGCAGAGGATGGACGTTGATCCAGCTGTCTCTCAACTCTAGAATCAGACTCTTAAGAGGAAATAAGGAACATAATAAATATAACAAAATATACATACACACACACATATACATATATATATTAGATGCCTTCAAAATTTCAATTTTTTGCAACTAAGGCCCAGTTTACACAAAAACAATCTCTTAAAATGTTAAGTTTTTTCTATGATTATTCTGAATAAAAACCCCACTTACACATACTGCAGTAGCTATTCACGAGACCGCACAAAATTTTGAATCTGGTATAGTTATTAGGCCCGTCACGATAACGCATTTTGCTAGGCGATTAACTGTCTCACAAGTTAACAACAAAGTCCATGCTCAATAATCCAGGTATACAATCCAACATTTTTCAGTCATGTCATCTGGACAAAGATGTGTCCAGATGACCTGACTGAAAAATGTTGGATGTCTCAGAAATTATTGCGATAAACAATAGTATTGTTTGAAATTTGACAATAAATAGTAATTATTGTCAAATTTAAGAAGAAATGTTGGTTAATTTTGTGTGTAGTACCTTTTTTGGCCACTGGATGGCAGTATAAGACTGTCTGAACCCAAGGATGGATAGTGAGGGAGCGAGCAACATGTCTCTTTAAAGAAAAATGGGCAGGAGGCTCCTTGACGTGACATGGGCTGTCTCGCCTTCCTTTTTTTTCCCCAGTTCTCAAAATGGCGGATGCTTGGTGTGGTTTGAGCTCTTCAGCATAGCATTTTACACACAAAACTTTTCATAAAAAAACAGTAAACAAGTTCTCAGCATCTTTTTGCAGAGAAAAACTTTTTAGACAAAGGCACAGGTTGCAACCGTGAATTTTGGAGCTTTGACAAGATGGAGGTTGTTTTCCGAGGTTGGCCTGTTAGCTTAGCTTGTAGCTTAGCTTCTCAGCTTAGCTGCTTTTAACAATCCAAAAACGTGATTTTGGATGGTTAAAACAGATTTTAAAGAGAAAGGGAGGGGTCAGTGAAGAGCACCAGAGTTGAGCCTTGTCATCCAGTGTCTTCAGTAGAAAGAGAGAGACACAAAGAAACAATAAAGCCGATAAATGAAAATGAGGTCGATAATTTTCATCATGCGATTAATTGATTTATTGTTTATCGCGACAGGCCTAATAGTTATCATGCCAGGTTACAAGCTGGTGCTGGTCCTTGTTTGCCTTACAGGTCAAGCACTTGTTGAATTTGACTCACATTCTCTGTCACAGACTTTGGTCAGCAAACATATGTTCTATTGTAGAATCTCTGAAAACCAAAACAGCTTGTAACACATACAGCACACACAGCAATATATACCAATTTGCCATTGATACTGGTGTGTTTGCCCATGCAGGTGAAAAAAGTGCTCTTAAACAGTGCAAATTTGCAATTTAACACTACTTGGGGGGGGGGGGGGGTGTCCCTGAAAGTCTGCAAGCTGAGACCTGAATTTACAAACCTTCGGTTTCATAGAAAGTGCAGCAGAAAGCTATGGTTTTATTCAAAAACAGCATTGTGTACACTGGGTCTGAGTCCTACTGAAGGTATTTGATGTCTACATTAATTACCAGGTCTTGGGAAAGATCCAATTTTCTGTGTTGGCATCATTAGCATTTCAGAAACTGAGAATTTGCTCCAGGTAGAAGATCTGTAATTGGAAGACAGCACTATTCAGACATACTTTCTTAATACACTTACTGTATGCACAAATAAACTTTTACTGCACTAGCAATGACAAAACTAGCCACCAAATGACAGAATATCTGTGAATAGATTGAAGGTTTTTCACTTGACTTACGGGTTACATCCCACTTTGGGTTGTGTGTCAGGTATAAAGTAGTGCTCTGTAAATAAAAATTTAAGAGACAGCTTTGAGAGGCTGAAGAATGTCCTATATTTTGTAATTTCAGAAAATGACAAAGTTAAAAGTCACTTGTAGAATAAAATACCCTGACTCTTTCCTTGTTCAGATACAGCCACATGTTCTGCTTCAGCCTGTGGCATCTTCTGCAAAACAGGCAAATTTTTATTATTATTTGACCTTTATTTACACAGGTTAGTTCCCACTGAGCCTCAAAGACTCATTTACAAGAGACCTGATCAAAATACATACTGATACATACAGATGCAACAAATGCTGCTATTCTCGACTAATACTGTATATTTTTTAGGCACACAACTTTTTTAAATAAAAATGTCAAAATTTAATTTAGCTACTGAACGCTATTCTTATGTCAAAACAATTTTGAGCATTTTTGACTCAAGTACCACATATGCAGCAACTTGGATGGAATATGTTTAGTGACAAACCTGCTCTTTAATGTCAACTGCATTTGTGATGCTTGGTGTTGTGCTATATTTGCAGCTCTTAACACTTGGGTCACGTGAACAAATCTTTTCCAGAGAGGTCTTGTTTTTGTCTGAAGTACATAAAGAGGAAGAAAAGCAGAATGCAATCAATCAAAAAATAATGATAACATATAAAAAAAAGCTTAGGTTTTGTTAGTCTTTCAAGAACTGGTGAGAGCACAAGGTGTTAAAATTATACTTCTAGTGGTGTGAAAACAATACAGGACAGTGTTACCTACTTGATAGTTTTAGCGCAAGAGAACTGTTACTATACACAGATCCTCCTTCACTGATGCTAATGTAAGAAATGGATTCCGACATCCTTATTTTGGCAGGGGTCGACATCTGAAATCAGAATGTTTGTGAACCTTAATGCAGCCTCTATGATCTGCTCATTTAAATGAGACGTCAGAACAACAACGTTTGCATTGTGATAAAATATAAAACATAAAACACTTAACCATCACTTTTTTTATATTTAGAATACAATTATTTTTACTTGTACAGCTGCAGCTGGAGTGGATAAAACATTTGGTGCTGTAGTTTTCTCACTTTCACTGAGGGACACCTGGCTTTCTGGAACAACCTGTGTCAGAGCAGCATGCAGTACACAATGACTTCATAGCCTAAATTCTGTCTTCACATGAAAAAGATGACACATTTCTGACACAATGCAAAGTAAAGATATAACTGAAGCAATGCATATTGCCCACTGCCTGGCATGCCAAAGTTTTGAACAAAGATGTTGCATAATAAATTAGTATTTGAAATGTGTGTTCAGGATGACTCACAGCTACCACATCTAATTTTAGATCAATATCTGTAAAAAATGACAGTTATAGCCATTTTCTGTTTGCTGAAGTCAATTAGTTGCAGTGGCCAGCTTGAAAAGAATAGACTACAAAGATGTACATCTGATGAGTACTTTCTCAGTGGTTCACGGGATAATTTTGATAACACATACACAAGTTTGTTTGAAACTCATCTAAAAATGTAACCGGTCTGCAGCTGATTCAGCTGTCTAGTTAGTGTAGTGTGGTATTTGTATCATAACATTAACACAGTGAACATATCATATCTGTAAACTGATTTTTTTATAGGTTTGTGCTTACCTGGGTGTTGTTTTCTTCTAACATTGTTTTACCTGCTGTTTTCACTACATGTGTGTGCTGCCAAAAAAGACACAGGTTAATACCAAATAATAATTTTTTTCAGACCACAGAGCCTAATGCAAAGTATATATGTTCTAGCTTAAAAAAATTACTTTAAGAGAGCAAAGGTTTCTCATTCTAATAATGCACAACTTACTGTCCTGGAACATGTCAATCTAATATGTTTAGCGGTCAATAAGTGAATGGGCCAAGACCTCTTACTTTTCTTTTCCTTTGTCCATAGACAGCTTTAGCAGCCTGTAGAATGTCTAGAGAGGAGCTGAAATGGATGGTAAGATGGGATCCCTCCACTGAACCAACAACCACTACCTCTGACAGCTTTATCTGCAAAACTTGATGCTTGCTCTCCTCTTAAGACAAAAAAATAATAATTATTGTATTAAACCAAATCTGAACAAACATATACAGCACATACCAGTAATCATTTCCAAAAATGGTAATACTAGCTTACTAATTATGACAATCTTTTTTTCTATACAGTATTTTATTGTATGAGTAGATGGATAGATTGCCACACTATATTACATATGATTGTGTGACTGACATACATTAGAGACTAGAGACTTGCGGTTGTTTCTCTACATTGATTACTGGTACCTGTGACAGTGTAGCTTTGGACTTCATTCCCAGTGATGCATATTGTTTCCCAATGGCCCTCCTACATGATAAGAAAAACAGTTTTTATGCTCTCACTGATGATGAGCTTTAATAAAAAAATATCAATAGGCATCTTTTGTTAGTGAATGTTTATGACTGAGACATAAATAATCTTAGGGTACCAGTACCTCTTCATCAGGCAAGGAGAAGTAGAAGGAGATGCTGTGACTGCCGAGATTGAAGTCAATCCAGAATTCCTCAAGCTTCTCATCTGAGGGCATCAGCAGCTAACAAGACAACCACAGTCTGTTTACATCGTATAGACTTTAGGAGAGCAGAATGGAGAGTAATATTCAAGCAAACATGCCTGAATTTTGAATATTTTTACTACAGATCATTACAAATTAAATTGTATATAATTTTTTTTTGATTCATAGAAATCCTGTTGATACTAACCTCATACTCTCCCAAATAAACTTCCAAACAAGGGTAAGAGTACACTCTGAAATACATAAATAATATTGTTTATCTATGACAATGAATTACCACTCCAAATTTACACAAATGTTTCTTTCTGGTGCAGGACATTGTTAAGGCAACTGCCAATTTAAATAAATGTTGTATTTTATTCTCTAGAATTTCAGGATGTCGAAAGAAAAAATAACTTTTCTGGTTCACTTGTTTACACCAAAGAGAGTGCTGACCTTCGTTTGTCTCCCTGCATCCCATTCACCATGTTTAGAAACCTGCGACAAGTCTAAAAACAACATATTTAAGCAATGTGTATGTAACCTGTTGCAATACAATTACAACTAATTAGCAAAGGAATACATCAAAAGATAATAGCAGACACTAAAATGACTATAAACTGTCTAAATGTACCGTCTCAAACTCTGAATCTTTGATCTGAGCAAAAGCACTGGCAACATGTGCCATGCTGAACCATCGATCTGCTAGCTTCTTCCTCTGCCCAGGAACAGCCATTCTACACAATGCTTCCATCAATGACGACTGCAAGTCATAATCTGGAGGAAAAAAAGAGGTTTGTATTTATTTTGGATAAAGACTGTAGAGTTTCTAAAACAAATAAATAAAGACTAACCACCACCCTCCAATATTTGAGCAGCCAGTTTGGACCTGCCAAATGTAAACACACAAGGGTTCAAGAGAATGCAGATATTTAAAAAATTAGCGTTACTAGTTTTTGGTAGAAAACTTCCCCTACATACATTATATCTGAACCCTCCTGTGATGTTAAGATTCTTCTGTTTTCCTTAAACTCCACTGGGATTTTGTCCAGAATCAAGTTATATTTACGAATGGCCTGATAAAAATATTTAATAAAATTAATTTATGAAGGACTTTCATCATTAAATGTACCCACAAAAACAGTTATAGGGAGTATTTCGAACCTCTTTCTGAATCAGGATGTATATTCTTGGGTCTACAGCCAGCTGTCCAACAGGATACAGGAAAAACTCTGTGACCTTGTGAGTTCCTAAAAATATAAATCAACAAGTTAATAACAAATTTAATAGATACATATTTATGATTTGATTAAACAGTGGCTTCTCACAAGTGAAATTATATATTGTAAAATAACAATAGATTTAGAATAAAATCCCATCTTAGTAAACAATGCAGCTTTTCAGATGCCAAATTTATGAATTAGGTAACTTTGTAATTTTCTAATTGAAGCCATAACAAATATTGAGTTTGAAATGAAAATGAATAAATGTATAAGTATACCCTCTTTGCAAGACTCATGAACTCCCTGAAGAAGAAGGAAAAGAAATATAAGGCTCTTACATTCAGTTTAAAAAGACATGGTAATTTATAAATGTGTTTACAGTTAGACATGAGCTCACCATTAAGGCGTTTAAAAAGTTTTCAGAGAGAGTAAACATAGTCTCGTCCCATTGTAGGCCATGGTGGATCCACAGTTGATGGCATTTCTCAAACCACTGCACCATGTGCACAGAAACACTTTAAATTAAACCTGAAAATGTTTGCTTGATAAGTCCTCATGTAATGCATGCTTGTATGTGAGAAATGTATACTCATCTTCTTAATAAGTCCTTGGTTTATTAAAACTGACAGTCCTTGACCACGAGGTAGTTTCAGGTTTTTTCCATATTTGTAGATACTGGCGAACCCCAAACTGGCTGTTCTGGCATTTTTTTTATCCAAGCTCTAAGAAATATTCATGGTTTAAAAACAAAGTTTTCTGAGTGGTTTGTTAGTGAGCTGAGCTGCATCTTACCGTGGTGATGAGCTTATCCAACTTGGTGAGAAACCTTTGAGAACATTTCATGGGGGTTTCTTCATTTGTGTCTCTCTCTATGATCAAGTCAAGTGGTTGGACATTTCCACTCTTTAACACTTCGTCAATAGCGTTTTCCAACTGCATGAAAAACGTGTTATCTTACAGTGTTGTACTATTCAAAAATACAGAACAAATACTGAGTTATTACTGTAACATAGATATAGATCAGGTCCCACCTGTCCGCTTTGGATTGGAGACATTTTTACTTCTTGGAAGCAGCTTCACCACCTCTGGACTAGCAGTCTCTGGAACTGATAGACACCAAAAACCTGCCGTAAACAAACTTCAACTTACAAACTTTTCGTTCTCGTGGTCATTACTTAAAATGCAAATAACATCTTATATATTTAGTGGACTCATTTTAGTGGATTTCTATTAAGATGTTAGTTGGATTGTTGTTGAGCACCGAGGTACAAAACAATATTCAAAACAACCTTCTGTTTTATTAAATCATGTCATATTTCGCCTAACAAAAACTTATCTACATAGATAAAATCAGAAAGAAAAAGATGGCGCATCCATTTTTTTTTCTCAGCTAGCTTATCTGTAAACAATACTTAGCTAAAATACTTTACAACTGCTAGCAGTCTCCAAACGACTGAAATATTAAGAAACATTTTACAGTAATTTTACCATGTTACTTACTTATAAAATATCGCATAAAACAGTAAGTTGAATGTTGTCTTTCTCGATCATTTTTCCGCCTTTTCAAACAGCCAACCGCAAGCGCGCGAACCATACGTTGAAGAGGCAAGCGCGTGACGATGTTTTATCCAATTTTGTGACCCATCAGATTCAGTGCCATACTGTAGTTGTAAGCGCTACTAGATACATTATTAACCATACTAGTCTCTTTTTATGCAAGACTTACTGTGGTATTTTTTTTAAATGATAATCAGGATTTAATAAAATTAAGTATGATAAAAATTAATTTGATCAGATTGCAAAAATGTGCAGACAATAAAAAACAAACAACTGCACAGGCAATTTGTGTAGTGATTTATTTTTTAAAGTAAATTATTTGTGTACAAAGTTTAGCAAAAGACAGCCCATCAACAATGATCATAAAAAAGTGACTTTTAATTAGAAATACAAATGTATCATACTTTGTTATTACACAGATACACAATACTTTCTGATTGGTGGAAAAAATAATTTCTTTATGTAATGTTTGATAATATATACATCAAAAATAACTTAATACATAAATAAGATGGCACAGCATTCCACGTTGCTGCATTGTTTTAATTGATTTGCATTGTTGGCTATTTAGTTGTGAACAAATAGTAAATTGAAGTCCTTTCATTTCTGTCTCACAAAACAATTAAAATTATCTGAGGACATCCCCATCATATTTTACATGGTTTGCTTTTATATTTTATTTCAGAAAGTTTTTTAATACAGTGCAAGTTTTAAAACTTTATGCGCTTAAGTGTTCACTCCTTTTATCTTGGGTGTGTTCGCAAGAGTTTAACTACAAACTAACTTCATTTTGCTGGCACTACTAAAAAAATTAACAAGTTGCAAGTACAAATTAACAACTTGCTTTTTAGTTAATATTAACTTCTACTAACAGTCATAAAGTGCTCAAAATACATTTTTTTGTACATTTACATTTTAGTCCTAAATGAAATGCACCATGCTGTCCTCACATTCTTTAGGCACCGTGAGTATGTAATTTTGGCAGAGTAATTTATAATTTTTCCCATCATTGTTGTCCCAGTATTCAGCCCCATTAACTTTGTATTGAATGGCAAACTCCAAAACTGCTCCAGGACGCAGGAACGGAGGGACTGGCAGATGGAAACGAAACGTGTCACAGCTAAACTCGTCCCCTCCGCCTTCCCAAGTTTTAGTGATGCTGGACACCCAAGAGGCCTTAACTTCAGCAGAACTTTTCCACTCTGTAAATGAATAACGAGCGGCGACATTCTTCACAAAGTGTAAGTTAAGGACTTGTGTGATTCCAATAATCCCAAGATCAAAGCACAAGACTCTCTCAAGACACACTTTCTGCTCCTGGAGACGATGCAGGAATCCTGGCTGGTCGCCAGGTTGTTTGGCAAAATCTGGCTTCAGGTAGGGCAGGGAAATCTCCAGGTGCCTTCCAGCTGTTATTTCGGCACCCATTAATAATTTAAAGGTTACATGATGTGGCACAAATGGATCCTCGCTTGATTTGAAAAGCCTGACATCTTCCAGGTCCAGTCCCAAAGAATCAACAAACCGAACGCCAACGCTTCTGCATCGCTTCTTTTTCTTCTCTGTGGCAGAAGGCAGGGAGCGTGACCGTTGTCGGATGATGGGTTTGGGCGTGGGCTCGCAGGTGAGAGAGCGGTGGGACTCTTGTTCTTTTGGCAGGGAAACTCTAGGGCTTGGAGGACGAATTGGAACAGGCTTCCTTATGGCATTAGGTCTGTCAGCTTGAAGCATTTCAGTCACGTTAATGATCATGCGGGGCCTTGAGACACTGCTGCAGCTGCACATCGGCTGGTCAGGTTTGGAGGGAAGTATCCTATCATGGTCAATAAACCACCTCCTATCCATTTTCGACGAGGACTGTGCCCACCTATTAAAAATATACAAAATAAAAAAACAAACAAAACAAAACAACAGTTGCGATGCAGCATGAGTTATTATGGTTACAGCCAGTCAATAAAATTAATTGCTCTAACCTAAAGCAAATGTGACTTTTATTTACAACACGGTTGGATCATGAAACTATAATAAGCTGCTGACTTCATAAATTGTCAGAAATAGTGGGCGTGTACTCTGTGGGAGTACGTGACTGAATGCACAATCCATTGTTGACAACAGCTTTTTACTACATCTCAATAACATTAAATGTTGACATTACCTCACCGTATATAGAGAGATGGGGAGCGTTAGTTGCACTTATGACGCAGGTTGAAGTCAAAAGCTAGAGCCTCCATTTAAAGTAATGTTTAGCAGAGCTGCGCGTTTTCGCTCGTCATGAAGTCTACACGGTTGCGTTTAATCATGACCCACTGATTTGTAAGTACTAAGAGCCCCCGGAAACCTAGCATAAAGTATATGGAGATCTGCAAACACGCGCGCAGGTACCAGGAACAACATACGTCCCAACGTTCCCCCGACGCCTCATGGGTAATTGTGTCATTTTACGTTAAAGTTGCGTTTGTGTAAAAAATACATTTTGAGTTTTCTTTCTCGCAAATCATTATGATAGTTTCTATAACATGAATAACATATTTTACGGTAGGTATTATTTGGAAAAAATGCGTTTAAAGATTACAGTAATATTAAACGTTACGTTGGTACTTCAACTCCCATGATGCATTTGTTCCGCTCTGACAGCGGCAGCGAGCCCGTCGCAGCAGGTAAACAAACCTATCTGACAGGGGAAGGCGAGCCAAACAAAGCGTCCGCGCTGTTTTTACCGTGTTGCATTTGTGACGGCGAAAAAGATGACAGTTGTAACAGATGAGCCTCTGTTGTCGGTAGTCGATTAACATTTTGTATTTAAACTGCGACGTAGGTCGACGACAGAAATAGTCGTGGGACGAGTAAACCGCTGCAGCAGAGCGAGGAGGAGACGGTTTATCCTCGCACGATGCACTGCAGCACATTGGAGAAAATGGGTTATTTTAGCCATATCCTCAGACTCGAGTGTCTGTTCCGAGATGTAGGTTGGCTTCTTTAGCTACCGTTTGAATAATAAAATAAAAAATAAAAAACTGCACTGGACCCGAATATCCCCCTGCGGTGCAGCATCATGGGACCCATCATGCAGGAGCGCACCGCATCCACAACACTGAAGCGCGTCGTTTCCAAGGAGAAGATACGAGTTAAGAATACTGAAAATAGCGGACCAGTAGCCAGGTAGGCAATGTTTCTATTCCATATTTTATAACTGACTCAACAAACCGGCGGTGTCGTACATGCAAGCTTGACAAATAACTGTTTCCCCAGTTCAAAGAAAGGTAACAAGACGAAGAAATTGGTGAGCCCAATGAAAAATGGCCTCCCGGGACCAGGTCAGGATAAGGACACAGCAGCACCGCACAGGGTAAAGGTTGAATGAATGTGACAAGTACTGTGATGACTTAAGACAGGTAAATGAACCTAAGATGTGCAGAGACCTTTAAATGGACAGGTGCTCAAACCTTAAAAATGGCCAAATAGAATAAACTTTAAAGACGTATACAGTATAGATTATATCATTCACTCCATGAATTGCTAAATTTAAGCAATTCAAGTTTAAACAAAATGCAAACATGATTATGTCCAAGTCTCATCTAGTATTTTTTTTAACAATGATTATGAACTCCTGTGTAGCTTACCATCACTACACAGTGGATCCACAGGAATTATAACAATAATAACTCATATCTTCAGTTGTTTTGTCTTTTAGAAGAATATCTTTATTCTTGAGCGCTCCTTCATCTAATCAGGAATTTGTTCCCTTTATCACATGAAGGAAGCTCCTTTTGTTTTTTATTTACTGGTAATCTGCTGCATGAATATAGTAGACATGTTTCTGTAGTAAATTTAAGATTTACATTAAAACCAGAATGCACTTATGTTTGCATATAGGTTGTTTATAGTAGCCTTTGTATTAAATGCATACATAATTATGTCATGGGGCCATGGAGAACCAAGGGTTGGTAAAAGTCCATGAAATATTTAGTAGTGTTTTTTCATCTTTCTGCTCTGCTCTTCCTGTTCTTCTCTGTTTTACACATTCTAAAAGGTTATAACCATAAAAAATAAAAACTAATAACTAAAAGGGTAAAGTTGTATCTTACACTAATACATATAAAGTTTATCCTTTGGCAAACTGTTTTCATAAGCATTGTGTTGTACAAAAACATTTTTAGAAATATTGTCCCTGTCTAAACAGAAGAAAATTATCTCATTTTTTAACCAACATTTTTCCCCTTATGAAGCAGCATCACTCTGCTGCTGCAGAGACAGGAGACAGCTCCTCATCCCCCAGCTCTTCTCCATCTTCTGCTCTTAGAGGAAAAAAGGGACTAAACTCTGTGACCAAACTCAGACACCATACAGTTATCATCAGGGATGAGAGCAAATTACACACATGCTGAGCATAAACGGCCCACAGTGATGGGACAAAACATGTAGTTTGTAGTTAAACCGCTGACAAACTACTTATATTAAAAACACAGCCAGAGGTTAGGTGTTGGTCAGATAGTTGTTTCTGTGATTTAATCCTGACTTATATTTTTTTTCATTCTTCCCTCCCATTTCTCTTTGTTTGTTCTGTTTTAAGCTGCTCTTTAAGAAACCCAAAGGAATAAAGAAAAACAGAAACTAACTTCACATCAAACACTAAAGAACGTGCAGACTGTAATCCCTACTTACCAGCAGTAAAAGTTGCTCTCTTACATAATAAAATAAATTATAATATTTCTGTCTATTAGTGTGAGTCTGTAACTTTTCAGCAGCACAGCAGTAAAAAAATGACACTCCCTTCCATTCCCACATTCCCTAGACTATAACAATCAAAGATGAAGTGTTGCTGACAAAGTTTTTTTACAGGGTGTTCCATCTAAAAGTGGGAGGCTGAAGTCGAGCGCTGCACGAAATACAAGTAAAGTCTCCAGGTAAGAGCCGAGATGTGTATTAGTTCTGAATGCTTCTCTTCAAGTATGGCAAATCCCTAAATCCCCAAATATCATTTCCATAAACTAATCTGTCACTTTACAGTCCTGAAGAGGAAGGAGATTTGAGACCTCAACTTCGAAAACACTCAACTTCACATAGAAAAGAGGAAAAACGAGAAAGTCAACAACGGATGTCACAGTGCAGCAGTGAGCACCTTCAAAATCGTCCAGGGATGGGGAAAAATCGTCGAGCTCTGTCTTTGCCTCTCTCGCCAATATCAGGGCTACGACACCTGCCAACTCAGGCTCTGACGTGCTCCCCAGCCCCCACTCCAGAAGCAATACAGCATCATTATAACCACAAAGAGGAAGACTCTGACAGTGCCAGCGACCTGTCAGACTCTGAGAGGCTGCCTGTTCTGCCTTCACCATGTACCCCATGCACACCACCTCATCTCAACCTCCGGGCAGAGATCATCAACACTAATGATTTCCTCCCAGACTTTCCAGGACCCCATGGGGCAGTGGGGGATGAAGATGAAAGTGAAAAATCAAACTACAATTACCCAGACTTTCTGCCTCCTCCCTTCAACAGCTGGAGCCTGAGACAGCTGGCTGTGTTTCTTCACACAGAGGGTCGTGGGGCCCCACCACGGCCTAAGCCAGTGGGGCCTTTAGAGAAGTACCTGGAGAGGTTGTTGCAACTAGAGTGGCTTCAGATTCAAACAGTGCAAGCAGAGATCAGCCGTCCACCTGGAAGCCGTACAAGACAGCAGGGGTTCCCTTCTCAAACCACTGCCAGGCCCCACACAGCCCCATCATCCCGACTCAACTCCCCCAAAGGGCTGCGGCACAGCTCGCGAGCATTCCCGTTCACACCTGTCAACAACCCACCATCACCTGCCTCAGCCCAGCACCAGCTCTCCCACTTTCCCGTGTGTCCACACTGTCACATTCGCTACCCACTGTGCAGTGGAAGCTGCTCTGCCTACGCATACCAGCGCCACTCGCGTCTCAGTCCACTGCTGGAGCGCAAAGTGCGACCGGGTGCAGGAGCAAAAAGAAGCAGCAGCGAGACCCGAGCAAATTCCATAGAAGGTAAGAGCCCGGGAGCACAGGGCGGAGGAGAAGGAGGGGCCCGGACACCGGTCAGCCCTTCAGCAGGGAAGAGTCATCTCAGGCACATGCAAGCATCAGGCAATGCCCGGAGGCAACCCCAAGAAATGGTCACCAACCAAAACCTCAAAATCCAGGTGAGGAAAAGTCAAGTCAGAGCTCACTCTGAGACAGATGTTAAAAAGGAATCTGGTGGAATTAAAACCCCGAGTGCAGAGAAACGGGGATTTGCCGGGATTAAGAAAGAGATCGTCTCCTCTAAGAGGGACGAGAAGAACTGTCAAAGAACTGAGGCAGGAGGTCAGACCTCTAAACCTGCCATGAAAAGAGCTGCTAAAGACCCAGCATCTCACTGCAAAGCATCGCCTAGCAGCCATAGTGTCCTTAAGCAAAACAGCAAAACAAAAAATGTGCACTTTGTTGCAAAGTAACCCTTATAGACCTGAAGTTGTGCTTTAATTAATGGTTACTTGGCAAAGAATCTTAAACCTATGCTTGCTTTTCGTGTAATCGGTTGAATACTAACATGCTCTAACTGTTCTACAGCGGAATAAACGAGTCATTGTTGTGAAGCCTCCAAATGTTTGGCACTATCAGCAACTGAGCAGCTATATAGTAGATATAGACCAAATGTGATACACTTCAGTCAAATTGTATAGTTATATGCATAATGCTGGGCAGACATAAGACCATGAGCTCAAATAGGGTTATTAAAACCATCTTTATGTACATGGAATTTTATTGCACTTCCTAAGTAATCTCATATTATAATATAAATATTAAAACAAAGAAGAAATAAATATACAACTGGAGAGCTTTGAGTATAAGTAATTCATAGTGATGTTCAACCCAGGTCATTGCACTTTGGTCATCAAATAATCCAGCAACATTTGATGTTGAATGTATTTATTTTCAATGGTAGTACTTTCTTGAAAAATTTTTTTTTTATTATTATTTTGTGCCTCACATTTTAATATATGATAAGTTTAAGTATCTTTAGCCGAAAGAGAGGCACTGCAGCGTAGCGTGAATTGTTTGAGGCGTATCGTCATGTTTTTACATTTTTGGCTACAAGGGCTTTTCTCTTTAGAACAGCTTGAACTGTAGTCTATGAGATGCTGTATTTTGCATAGAGCCGACATCGTCCTGTCGTTGAAGATGGTGAATTGTTTGCTACGACTAAATGGATATTTTTCCAGTTTTTATATACCATAGTTATATTTATGAGAAGTGCCGTTGTTTACTTGTGTCTGTCTTTGCCATTTTTCTGTTTACATCGTCACACACAGAAAGAGAACTGTTCGGTCAAAAGAGCTGAATGTAACTTCGTCTCCTGTGCAGTCATGTCGGTGGAATTTCAACACATCAGAGCTGTAACATGGCAACGTTATAAACTTGATTCCACTGTATATGTGACTGTAGGAATGTTTTAACTAGTGGTGATTTATGTTTGATTTATTATTTGAATTATAAGAACAAAATGTTGTAAAATGTGTTGTATTCTGGCTGCACCTATTTACTCAACATCCATGTAAAAAAAAATAAAAAATAAGCCATAGGTCAGAAGCCAGGAGGAAGGGAGGGGGAAAATATTGTAATTGTGTACACAACGTCATCGTGCACGCTGAAAGATGGTATTTTCTCACTGTGGAATGCAAGCATTTGTAAGGCGTAAAAATAAACGTTTTTCACACACTGAAACTGATCTTGGTCATTCGTCTAAAAACCGATTTTGAAAGCTTTCACTAATTTATTTTATTCCTGGATGTGATTATAGCTTCTTCTGAAATGGGAATGGCTTTAGAAGTTGTCGAAGCTGCTTCTCCCTGTCATTCACACACCCTGCAACAAAAAACAAGTACATTTTCAGGTTAATAATGTTATGATTCCAACAGTTATACATAACCGCAGGATAAATTACTACCGTATCAATGTAAATGTTTGTCAAAATGTCATGCTTGGCTTTTTTTCCTAACCCTAAATATGAGATATATTTTCACCTCATTAATTCTGCATTAACTGCACTGTGAAGTTACCCAAGTGTGTGTTGGCAGTGAAACACAAGCTGCTAAATGTTTGGAAGTTGACGTCTTCTCTATAGACAGGCCCACTGTTCCACATGAGATCATAGCCTCCCACTCTCTTCTCCTTGCCACTGAGCCTAATGAGGAAAAACAATCCGTCAGAGACCTCACCGTCCTTTGGACTGCTTTTATCTTGTGCTCTGATGGTATCACAGCACATTGTTACAGTGTGTTCTTGACGGTCAAGTGTCCTGGAACACGACCTCAAATTATTGTTTATAGCTAGTAGTGTTTTTTTTTTTTTTTTAACTCTTAACAATTGCAAGAACAGAAATACTAACACTTTGTTTCCTCCTGACAAAAAAGTGAATGCAAGATAAAAATGAGCCATTTTCGTTACCTTCCCTCCATGTCGACAACATTCAAAGTGTCTTCCAGCAGTCTAAACTTCATGTCGTAATCTTCTTGACTACTGTGTGTATGCGAAGGGGAGGCATTCACCTCAATTAGCCACCTATGAAGAGAGAAGTGACGGTCGGAAAACTTTTAATTAGCCTGTTGAGTCGAGACAAGAAAATCAGGAAACCTTTAAATGATAAGTTGTTGACATCCTGTTGCATGCTCAATAATCCAAGTAAATCTAACAAGGTTGAAAACGTTTCGTATTTTATCCAAAACTGATGATTGCAGACAAACTGAAGACTGAATAAGTTTTGGGGAAAAAAGACGAATCGTTTCAGCAAAGAAGAATCCTTCCAGAGTAAGTTGTTGACATTTGAATTACATAAAGCACTTTGTTGGGTTTGTGCCATCACATAAACATTGAAGTTGTGAGTTTATCAGTAGTATTCCAGCAGAGGTTTTGCTTTGCTTGTGGGTAGATATTCAAAATGAGCACTGCACTATTCTGTGCCCATTGATGCCTTCACACTGGCTGCTGCAAAGAGAAGATGTGTAAGAAAATACACTTTGATGACACTTACGGTTTGAGGTTCTGGTCCAGTAATATGTCATAGCCATAAAGCTCAAAGCAGTGTTTGTCATTTATAATGATCTTTTGCACACTCTGTAGGCTTCGGACAAAGATGTTATCCATCTCCTTAAAGACGGTTTCAACCACCTCTCTGCCATGCTTGGCAGTCAGGTATCTTCGGAGCTGTTGTAGCTGCCATTTACATCCCTTTTAAGCAAAATATGTAAAGGTGTAGTAAAATTAGAATGTCAATATTAATGTAACACACGTTATGAAAAAATAAACTAAGTGACAGGTCGTTTTGAAGTTTTTAAGATACACACCTTTTCTGGATTATAGTCAGGTGCTGTTTTTTGAACAGACACGTTGGTAAGATGCATGTCTGGAAAGGTATATTAAGGAGAACTTAGAAGTTTAATGAACATCTCATTAGAAATTGGGTTATTCCAAGACATACTCTAATATTAGCAAATGAAAAAATTGTCACATAAAAAAGGATACACTTGTCATCAATGGTGCTCAGGGAAAAGTGAGTGCTCGATAAGCGGGCGAAGCCATCTCGATACAGCCAGACTTTCAAGGGGTCATACTGAAAAATAAAACACGTGAAGATAGTATAACAAAGTAAAATTACACTTTGTATAAAACTGCAATATCCAAAGCTCTAAACGTACCGATGTGACTAGGACATAAACTCTCATATCAAATTTCCTGCCTGTGGGGGGCACAAAGCATTACAAGTTACAATGGATACCTCTTCTTATGGATTTTGAATAAAAACAAATTTATTTTGGTTATTATTTCAGTTAATTACCATTAATTAGGTATGGGTTCTCTATATAGCGTTGCGCTACATAGTTTTCCACATGCGCTGCCTCCTTTTGTTCTTCTGAGCGGGAATTGTCCTGTATAAGCACAACATTATCAGTTACAAAAAGTAGGTGTGCATAATTTATGTTTTCATCATCTCCTTAATTTGCAACCAGTTCATTGGTAAAATAATTCTACTACCTTACTCCAGTCCATGATGTCTTTCAGTTTTCTAAACAGGAAAATCCCTTTGCCTTGAGATTTTCCGACCTAAATAAACACAGGTTGTATGATTATGTTGTACGATCTTAGAGCAGTATGGTGCTGTCACTCAAATAAAGAGTAAAATATTGTTTTATTTCACAGAGTCACATTTGTGCTCTTTAGCTCACCGGCTTCATGATCCAGGTGCTGCCAGGGCTTCTATTGAACTCCTCTACAAAGAGATGATACTCCCTGGGCAATGCAAAGGTGGAGGGGAAAAAATCACACTTCGAAGCTTCCGTGCGGCCAAAATCCCTTTCGAGATTTTTCTGGTACCTTTTAAGGTTTTTCACCAAAAGATTTTTGCGTGTCAGCTATCAAAAAAATAATATAAGAAAAAAATAAACCATGAAACATGGTTATATTTGTTGCTGTTTATGGTCACAATAAATCGCTGCCTCACTTCATAATGGTTGCGAAAGTGGTTTATCTTGACATTTTCCTCCATGTATGTGTGATCAAAATTCTCCCTGAGCCAACCTACATCACACCAGTTGAAGTCCCACTCTGCATCACTGTGAATTAAAAGAACAATGTTTAAAGAGCCTTAAAATACAACCATGTTACCAAGATGATGACAAACACACACCGCTGCACTGATAAAGCTTTTTCTACGTCTTCAACTCACTCTTTGACTTCAACCCAGTTGGGTCTTTGGCAGAGAACATCTTGAATGGTGTTGATCAGGCCACATTTGTAACGAACACAACTTCTTCCATCTCTGAGCAGACGCATGAACAAGGTCACTGCTGCTAATAGTGCGCTTGTTGAATCAAATATTAAACAATTAAAGTACCGGTATAACAACATCCAACATACCTGACTTTTGCCATTGTCACCTGTTCCTTTTTATCCAGGAGTCTGTAAGGGTTATAAAACCCATAGCTCAAACTTCCTAAATGCAATACTTTTTAAATCAAATCAAGTTTGTGGTTTGTGTGTGTGTGTGTATACATATATATATATATATATATATATGTGTGTGTGTGTGTGTAAAAAATACACTAGCTTGAGATATACATTTATTCTATTTATTACTTTAAAGTCTTCAAACCAGATGATGATATTAGCATATCGTTTAAAAGGTTATATTAAAAATACACCAACTTCTAATCGTAGAGCAGAACAATTCCTGCTCGTCTATCGACTATCGTCATTCTGTAAAAGTTAAAAACAACAATATGCACTCTTATTTTTTACCTTGTATTTTGGAATGAAAGCGCTCACCACAAATCAGTAAACAGTTTAAATTAAAATATATTTAAAGCTTCAAATGGATGGCAAACTTAAGTTAGCAAGAGTCGCGTTAGCAAGTAGTTACGTTTTTGCACGGTTGTTGTCATGGTAACCTCGAAAAGGAAGATTGTCCCAAGGCGTTTTCCGTAGCATCCATGTATCATTCATCATTACGGAAGATATGATGTAAGAAACCATTTTTATTTCGTTCTTTTTGAACTAAATAGCTTGTTTATTGTGTTGATTGTATTTTGTGGCTCTTCCAGACTCTTGAGCAGAATGGTGTCATTCTTGCGGAAGTGATAAGAAAAGTGAATGGATGCTACACAGGAATAATACTACAGACTTTAAAAAGATAAAATACATAAGCCTATGTTGTAAAAACTATATATCTAACTATTCAATGTTAAAAAAAAACTAAACTAAATAGAAAGTTGTTTTCTAAATGCAATAATTCTAATACAGTATTGCAAATTGACCACACGAGGGTGTCCAAACATCATATAAGTAAAAAGACCATCTATCTATTTAATTTTAATCTTGTTTTCTATATAAAAATAACTGTAACGACACTCACTCACTTCTAATGCTAAATAATGTAAATATCTCTATAAATAACATGTGTATATCCTCATTAACATATACAGTAGCTTTATAAAACAAACTTAAACAGAGTGTGTGTGTTCATGTTCAACCACTGATGGTAAACAAGCCCTAAAGACAAATGATTAAACAGAAAAGTTTATTGTGAAAAGGATATCATAAAAAATGTCTGCCTTGGATCTAACAGGTTTGGGCTTGATCTTTTGTTGATGACAGGTTGAGGTTGTACAGCTCATTGATAAATCACTCTTCCTTCCATATTTACTCATCCCTAACAACTTAAGACCTATGGAGTGCGACTAAATCCTGTCTATTCTCAGTCTTTATAAGCTTCCTTAAAATGCTTTCAGGTATGGTTGATTCTGTGCTTTTTTGTAATAGTAATAAGGTGGATTTAGGGATACCGTTTGTTCTGCCTCTGAAGCTCAGTTCCTTCCCAGCTCATCAAATATTTACAGTCATGGTTTTTAAATCCTTGTTTGAAAGAACATAACATGCCTCAGATTCCTGTGGAAAGCTAAAGAAATTGGCACATTCTGTATTTTCTTCCTTTTACAATCTAATCCATAAACACCATTATCAAGACTATTATGACCAATTAAAAAAAAAATCCCTCTTAATTAAGGAACTGAGAGTGGAATTTCAATAAGTGTGTGGCCAGAAACCACAATGTCTTTAACTGCACTGGCTGTGTAAAAAGGCTCCAAAACAAAACCGTGTCATAAAACATTCTTGTTGCATAAATATTATATACATACACACACACACACATACACATACATACATACATACATACATACATACATACATACATATATATATATACATACATACATATATATACATATATATATACATACATATATATACATACATACATATATATACATATATATATATACATACATATATATACATA